AGGGGTAGGAGACGTTAATTTCCCATGCACGAGATTACTGTGTGGTGGATGTGCTCCCCTGGGGTGGGATGGGTGGGAATTGGCCCTGAAAAGCCCCTATGGAGAGTGGTCAAGTAACGCATGTAGTAACGTATGTATGTATACTAAATAATTTGGATATATCAACAAAGTTGAAATGGTAAATTGGCCACCGTAACGATTACAAAAGCTGACGTTTCGAGCGTTAGCCCTTCGTCGGAGCGAATAGAGGAATTGTGGGTTGTGTGTGCTTTTAAAGGCAGAAAATGGAGCTACGTTATGTAAAATGGAGCTACGTTATGTATACTAAATACAATCAAACACAAAATCAACTCACCTCTGGTTGAAAACACACAACTTTACCTAAATTCTTCCTTTATAACTAACTTCCATTTATCTTAAATCTCCATTATGTCCTAATTACGTTCAGTAATAAAATTATTCTTTCCTAAAAGATGATGTATTTTAGTTGTTTACAAGCCTCCATTTGAACCTGAATTTTCCGAATGATGCAGCGATTCGACGAGCTTGGATTTATGCTGTTGGAAGGACATCCTTGCCCAAAGACTCATCGTAGAACTGATACTAAGTTTGTTTACAAACAGATGACTGGAACATGTGCCGGACGAGCAACCATTTTACGTCATCACCCCAGAGAGCCTTGCGCGCCGATCAAAATGGCGATGGCGGGTCGTTCGAACTGTTCATGAAGGCCTCTTTTGAGAGGCAAAAACGAAAAATCTAAGGGGAGAGAAAATTTTATTATACAAGTGGAGGTTTTATTATTTTTATTATACAAGTAAAGGTGACACAAATACCAAGGTAATGTGTGTGCCTTGCCCAAAGACTCATCGTAGAACTGATACTAAGTTTGTTCACAAACAGATGACTGGAACATTTGCCGGACGAGCAACCATTTTACGTCATCTCCCCAGAGAGCCTTGCGCGCCGATCAAAATGGCGATCGCAGGACGTTGCACTGTTCATGAAGGCCTCTTTTGAGAGGCCAAAACGAAAAATCTAAGGGGAGGAAAAATTTTTCTGTCCGAAAAACCTACTTTTGTACACTTAAAGAACATTTTAAGTGAAATTTTCGAAAACAGTGGAGGATCCCTTTAAGGTGGCTGAACACAGATTTTGATACCTCTGTTTCTTTCACCATTTTCTCTAAAACCTTTGTTCTCTCGGTCGCCAAAACTGGCAGCAAGCAAGTTAACAATACAAACTTTGTTTTTTCGATAGTTAAGCTGACGTATGTGCCGGTGGCATGGCGACATGAATAGATATAAACAGGAAATTAAAATCGGTTTTCTTTCTTTGTAAATAAGATTTTCTTTATAATTTGCATGCAGCGAGCTTGTAACGATACTCACAAGTTAACACGATTTTGCTGAAAATTTAACAGAGATCTTTGATTATCCTTGTTAAAGGTTTACTCGATTATCTAGAATTTCCTTCGATGACTGATACTTCAGTTACTTATTTCCTAAAGTATTTTCGTGCCAAATTTCATGAAATTCTAATGAGTGGTTCTCAAGAAATAGGCATATTTCCGAGAAAGCAATTTTCCATTCAATCTCAATATTTTGACTTACTACGCATGTGCTGCATTTAACTGGTTTCTTTCGATTCGGTAACGACGAAAAAGCTGAGAGCTGCTGGGTTCTTTGCACCGTTAACTTTCTTAACATGTCTTTGTAATAAAACATTAAAACCCTCAATAAACTGCGCCAACTATACAGAAAAATAGCCCAGATAGTGCGGATACGTGTTGAGTAAATAAAATGACCGCTCTGTTGACGGCATGTTTGTTTTTTGCAATCTTTGCGCGCGCGCTGAATTGCATCAGTAAAAGCGCGCGTGAAAACCACCTTAAGCCACCTTAAATTGACAGTTCTAAAAAAGAAAATTATTTTTCCTGTAATGGTTCTGTACAGGGGAACCTGATGCATCCAGGCGCTTCTTAGTCTCTAGATCAGTTACGTCAGTTCGTTGTAAATATTTAGTGAACAAGAATCCCGGTGCACGCCCAGTCATACATGCAATGGCGACTATCGCATGGCAATAGTTTAATTGCTGCCTCACTAGCCGTCAACTCAGGTCTTTAAGGATGGGGGAAACATGATCATATTCTCTCGAGTTGCTAAAAGCGAAATACCGCAACAGGCAATCAGAACAAGCCAAGTACCACAAGGAGCCAATCAGAACTCAAAGTGAGATCAAACCAGTTGTTTAAAGCGCGGGTGTCCTGGAATACCATCGACACTCAATTTAAAACTGCTCATTGTTTACAGAAAAAGACACAAACTGCGCATACAAATTTAAAACTGATACGCATCCTAAAATACTTGTACCATATTATTTCTGAGTGAATTTTTCGCATGAGGTTGATCTGTTTAATATTTGTCCTTCTCCGACACGTGGCCTGGGCGGTGCATCTTTCGTAAAAAAGAGTCCATGGCCTTACGACAATACCTCCACAGCAGTTCTTTGTCGGCAGGTGAAGTTCGATAAATTTTAAACAAGATGTCTTTAATCATTTCTACCCTAGTAGGGTCTACTTGGTCTTTTCCTCGGACTCCAGAAATATTTCTACCATATAATTCATCTGGTGTAAAAAGCTCACGTAATAATCGTACTGCGAAATTCATGGTGGAATTTGACCTCACCTGTAAGGCAATAAGGTTGTCACGTGAAATGGGAAAGTCTAAATCTTCTGGTAAAGTCTGCTCGGTTATTTTAGCCATTTCAAGCTGTATTCGTTGACGTGCTGAGATCCCACGAAGTGACTTTGAGACACCAGATGGTTCCGATTGCAGTAATTTAAGACCGCTTCCTTGGCATTCCATCTCTAAATCTGCCTTTTCCTCGGTTTCAACCGTAGTATTAGTCAAATGACGTTCCACTGAGGCATTATTTGATGGAGCCTCTATATCTGTGGAATGAGAAGCAGATCCAGTGTCTGTATTGTGTGTTAGGTTGGATCGCAAAGGAGTATTGAGTGGTGTTGCTGCTGATACATTATTTGACTGAGTGGTGTTCACTGTTTTTGCGTTAGGTTGCTTTAATGTTGCATCCCGATTCTGGGTAACTCTCGTAGCTGGGTTTGAATGCTTTCTAATCCTAGGGAAACTTGATTGGCTTGGCTGGTAGCTTTTCTGTGCTCTGGAATTTGACTGCGTTGGAACTGAAGTGGCACGTGTTTGGTCGTCAATCACTGTGGCAGTTGGCTGGCTTTCAGAAGCTGTGGCACTTGACTGGTTTCCCACTAATGCCGTATTCAACTGGTTTCCAACTTGCAGCCCATTTACTCCAGCAGCTGATTTAGCTCCAATCATTACCATAATCTGATCTATCTTATGCTCCATTCTCACCAACACTGGAAGGATCAAGGAAAGCTTGTCATCCTGGAGAGCACTAAGCAAACTCATGGGGGATGAGTGAGGGGCAGTCAACGAAGAGGGAACAGCTTGTTGACGAGGATTTTGCGGTGTGCTGCTTATCACTGGTGAAGAATACAAACTGGAAGGGAGAGTAAATTGGAAAAAGGTTGGAAGTGGTGTTACTCCTTCAATAGGTCCATAAGCTGGAGATGGATGTGCCACTTGTGAATGCTGTGGAACAGTACAGGGAGGTTGATGAACTACAGGTGAAGGCTGAGGTATAGTATTTGGATGCTGCTGAGGTAAGGTTTGTGAGGACTGAAGCCCAGTTTGTAGATGCTGAGGTACTATATTTGGGGTCTGAAGTCCAGATTGTAGTGGCTGAGGCACTGTAGGTGGGGACTGAAGTGCCACTGGTGGATGCGCAGGGAATGTGTTCTGTGCCTGTGGTACTGTATTTGGAAGCTGAGGCTGAGTAACTGCAGGTACTGCATATGGAGGCTGAGGTTTTGTCGCTGGAGTTTCTGGAGGTGGGACACCAAGAGCTCTTTGCAGATGTTCTGATACCACATTTGAAGGCTGCAGGTCTGCCTCCAACTGTCGTGGAACTGTTTGTAGATTCTGAGGATTGGTATGCACAGGATGGGGTAATAAATGAGCCTCCCGAGGTGCTGGCTGAGAAGGGTTTGCTGCTACTATCTGCAGCAACTGAGATAATTTATGTGGAGGTTGAGTCACAGTATATGGAGGTGTTGCCTGCTCAGGAACATTTTCATCAGCCTGTTCAAAGATACAAGATATTATTACACAAGTGGAGGTGACACAAATACCAAGGTAATGTGTGTGCCTTTAAGTGATGAATGGCAGAGCCACAGGTGGGTCCAGAAATTCAAGATTGAAAAAAGATCCTTTTTATTAAAGTCCAAGATAAACACACTTCATGCTGAAAGGGTTCTTCAACCCTTTACACCACAACATCAGTATGCATATTCTCCATACTGTTCTCTATACATTTCCTAAGGTGCTGAAAAGGAGAATCTGTTTCAAATCAAGAGCTTCTTTAGTTGGTGATCATTTCCTTTATTCTCGTGACCTCAACGAGTGATTCAGGGGTGCTTTTGTAAGGAGAAATTAGATCTGGTCACTCTTAGAGGTTGAAGGATTAACAGCATTACACTGCCAATCAAATCCTAGCAAGTTGTAGGATATCTGGAGCATGACCTCAGTGGTACCACATGGCAAAGTTGGTATCCCTGTCTTTCAACTGGGGAAATGAAAAGTCCTTGGATTTTCCCAATTTTGAGTATTTTAACTCCTTGAATTACCAATAGCACTTCTCTTTGAATCAACACCCCTCTCAGATAAGTACCCCCTCCTGTCAAACAAAAGCAATTATCATCATGCTTACCAAGACATCCTCACTTTCCTGATTAGTTTGCTTTGACCTTTTACTCTTAAAAGAGGAAAAAATGAAGAGGTTTTAATACTACTCGCTGAACTACATTGGTTACCAGTGCGCTTCAGGATACATTATAAGATACTCTTGATAACTTTTAAAATTCTGCATGGCCTATCACCTAAGTAACTTTCAGATTTAATTAGTATTCAACGGCTTTCGTCCTACCATTTGAGGCGCAATGATAATGATCGTTTGCTGGAAAGACCAAGTGTGAAAACTAAGAAAACATTGGGTGACAGAGCTTTCCTGGTAGCTGCTCCTTTCCTATGGAATAAGCTGCCAAGGTCCGCGCGCAAAGCAACGAACTTAGAATCTTTTAAGATTCTACTTAAGACATTTTTATTTAAGGAATCATTTCAGTTATCTTAGTATATCTATATTTTTATTTGTAATTATCTTTCATTAATTTAATGTAAATAAATATATAATTTATGATTTTTATAGAAAGAATTGTATAATTTTTTAGTTATTAATTACTGTTGTGATGCGCTTTTGAAATTTTATAGAAAAGGCGCAATACAAATAATAAGTGTTATTGTTATTACTGTTAAACGCATAGTTAGAGCTTTACAACACCTGCGACCTATTTTTTCACCGATGAAGAACATTGTGATGTAGTTTCAGAGGATGGAAGAAAAAGAGAGGTTTGGAAAAGAAAAGAAAAAAAGTTAGATATGTTTGGTCCGTGTGAGGCTTGAACTCACGACCTTGGCGTTATCAGCACCACGCTCTGCCGACTGAGCTAACGGACCTAACATGCTTTTGTTCAACATTTTTTGTTAGCACTAGTTTTATTCATGTCAGATCTATTCCTTATAAATGATTTTA